AGAAAAGGGTAACTAGTATCGGCGCATTACGACTAAGCGAGCGAGGTCGCTTAGCTTGTGCGACACTAAAACTCAAGCCACATCTTTGTAGGAACACATGCGCTCCCTCCATAGCAGATAAGTGGCTCGGAATGTTTCGCAGTACGAAATTATGCTTGCGTTTAATTCGTTCCTCAGTTTCCGAACTTATTACCCCAATAAGTTTAAAAGCTTGTTCAAGCACTTTTTCAGAAGTGCTGTTTATGTCTCCATAAATCAGCTGATCGATTATTTCGCCGGCTGATGATCTGCTATGACTAGCAGAGGCGTATTTTTGGACGACTGAAGGGTCGAGAGGTTCTACATGTACTAAAGGGATTTGTGAGTTAATCAGATCTGCAGACGGCGAAGAACATACGCTGGCGTCTGCCATGTCTTCAGTCACGATTTTAGCACCCAGAGACGGTGGGGAGGCCGCAAGCTTTCGCCTTTTAGCACGTGCTCTGCGGGGCATTACAGACAAAAAAAGTTTTTCGTTACAGAAGAAGGATCAAAACGTTGCCAACGTACGGAAACGCGCACTGAGTAGCAAGTATTACTGTTTTTTAACTACGAAAACTAGAAAGCGGTAGTAGGGAAAGGATTCACTACAATGGATTTTTTAAAAAATATAACTATTTTGCCAGACTGTCAAACAAACTGGGAAAAAAATTTATCTTATATAGAAAGGCGCCTTTTAAAACGGACTCAAGTAAAAAACAGGCATTATTTACTTAAGAATATCCAGTTAAATGCAGAGCTTCACTTATCTTTGAAATTGAGCTGCGCGCCAAAGCAATTATGAAGCGTAATTACTGTCGCTTTCACCAAACCACCAGATGAAGGCATATTATGAGGCCACTGACGAGTCTGAGTCCGAGGTTCCCTCAACGTCGACAGCAGTTGGTCATCATTCCCCTGAACGATAAATGCCTATTCTGAGCTCTGAAACTTCTGCCAGCAGGTATTATGTGTGTGTGCGCATCAGGGGACTCATCATACAGGTCGATATTTTAAAAGAGTGCCAAAAGTGGGCGGAAATCTGGCGTCCCCTGCGCATTTTAAGTTGGTGGTTCCAGGCGGGGCTGTCGTGTTGAATGCCCCGCCAAAGCCCCTTCCACAGCCCCGCCTAGCCCCTTCACAGCCCCCTCTAGCCCCGCCATTTTTGATGGGGCTAGGCGGGGCTAGGAGGGGCTGGTGCTGGCAGGGGTCATTTTGTTCCAGGGGATTAGCGACAACGTAAACAGCAGAGCAGACAAACTGTGCAATTGTAGACAACATCACTGCAGGCGAAACTCACCTACCTATAACAAATTAAATCCAAAAACACCGAATGTGTCGATTAAACCTGGGACGGACTCCCTATTGCGGTGGTGCCTTCAGACACCGTTAAAACATTATAATTCACATCTGGTGCTCACAACTTACTTACTTACGGCGTCCTTCATCATTTTGATGAATAGCTTTTTGGTTGAGTATTTGAAACATCTGTTCACCCAGTGTTTAAATAGGGTGTTCAGGCGTGGCGTTCCAAAACGAAACCAGATTATACCCTATTGGAGAACGTACAACGAATAGCAGCCAAACAGGTCGGCGGATTATGCTGCTTATCTTGTAGAGGACGAAGGGAAAAGTTAAAAAATTTCCTCTCTCTTATATGCAAAACAGGATAGATATGATCATGGCCTTTATGATCGTCAGTAGGCAAGATTGTGCCTTCTAGCTTGGGTTTTCCGACGCTCCGCCTATCTTCCCCTATAGACACTGAATTATATAAACACGATCGTATTAGCGGCGGCAGCTGGCGCCTGATCGTCGCATATCGATAACTTCACACTTTCCAAAACCACTGATGTGCTCTTTGGGCTTGAATAAGGAGCTTAAGGGCGACGAACAGTTCCTCGAATAATACTAATAATAATTTTATTTAATGCCAGTTTACAGGCATTGTCAAGGGAGCCTTAAACACAAATCCGGTCAGCAGTGACAAAAACTCCTGGGAAAAAAGGAATAAAAATAAAGTTGATGGAGGTTTTTTAGTTTGGAGGGTTCAGGGGAAAAACTGCTGGCGACAACCTTTCGACCGTCAAGAAGGGAGGGGTTGTACGGTGTCCAATATTATCAGTCGCCAATTCCTTTCGTGAAGTTGGGGCTAGTCCAAACAGAAGCGCCGAAGAACAGCTGTCGCTGTTGACAAAAGAAATTGTCCCTGGTGAGACCACAAACGTCATTGCTACGGTAGAGTCGATCAGTGGATTCAGCACCCAAAATTTGAGGAAGCTTTTCTGAATGCAAAAATCGAGTGATAGTTCCTTAAATGAAGGACAATTTTGCAGAGTTTTCACACCCATGGGTAGTTTATTCAAAATAGCAATTGCATTTAAAGAAAATAACCGACAATATTTAACAGTACGTGCCAGAGGAAGAAATAAAAAGACCTCGCGGTGACTGTTAGGTCGGGGGTGAACATGATGTCTTAAGGTAGTGAGTGGGTTAAAGGTGCGATTATATAACATATTAATAATAATTTATTTAATGCCAGTTTACAGGCATTGTCAAGAGAAGCAATTAAACACAAAGCCATTTAGCAGTGAAAAAAACCTCCTGGGGTAAAGGAATAAAAATAGAGTTGATGGAGGTTTTTATGGTTTGGAGGGTTCAGGAGAAAAAACTGCTGGTGGTAGACTTTCGACCGTCAAGAAGGGGGAGGGGTTGCACGGTATCGGAGATTATCGGACGTCAATTCCTTTCATGAAGTTGGGGATAGTCAAAGTAGAGGCGTTGAGGAACAGCTGGTGAGACCGGCCATGGTGTTCAGAGACCACAAACGCCATCGCCTAAATAGCAAAAATTGTCCCTTTTGTAATCTACGAAACCATAAAGGATCAAGGCCTGAAAGTCCGCAACGTTCTTGGTAAGAGAAATTTCGATGTTCCGGGGTTAAAATTCTATTGGTAAAAAATGTTGAACGGATTTAACTTTCTTCCGCTCAGCAGCACGCATGAGGTTAAATAAAAACGAACCGTATTCCGGTCCAGGTCTAACGTACATGTTATAAAGCGCATTCTAATGTCGCCAGTTTTTAAGTTTTGGAGGAGAAACCCGGTCGTTCTACGTGCTTTGGAGACTATCAAGGCACAGTGCTCCGAAAGACTGAGGCTCCTGGAGTAACAAACATTCAGATCCTTAAAAACCCCAGGCACATTCCTGGCGTGACCTTCAATACTTAGTGGAGGTTGGCGGTCGTCACAAACCACCATGACTGAGCACTTATGCCAAGAAAGAGAAAGGCGCCATATGCGACACCCCTGAGCAAAGGCCTGTAGGTCGCTCTTTAGGAGTTCAAGTTTGGTGTCACGATCTGCCGGCTTATATCGATAAGCAACTTTCAGATCATCGGCATACATGAAAGGCTTACCATTCTGAAATACATCGGGTATATCGTTAACAAAAAAGGCAAAATATAAGCGGGCCGGATACACTACCCTAAATGACTCCACTCCTAACACGTGTGGGGTTGGAGATAGCACTGGGAATCTTGATTCGTTGTGTGCGAGTGCCCAGGTAAGACGATATAAAATTTAAAAGTCTGTCGTCTATTCCGAAAGAGGACAGTTTCAAGAGAAGAAGAGCATGGTCAGCACGATCAAAAGCCTTAGTGAAATCGAAATATACAGTGTTAAGTGCAATACCATTGTCCCTAGATTGGAGAACATAGTCGAAGAAAGAGATTTGACGGGTGTTACAAGACCGAGCTTTGAGGAATCCATACTCAGCAACACTCAGTAGGTTATTCTCATTTAAGTGACTCATAATCTTATCTTTGATCAATGTCTCTAAGATCTTCGAAACTGCGGGGAGGGTGTTTATTCGCCGAAAGTCATCAAATGACGTAGATTTTCCGTGCATAGGAATGGGCAAAATGTGTGATTCCTTCCACAAGGTAGGATAAGTCTCACTTTCAAGAGCGAGATTAAATATCTTGCATGAGAGGGATGGGAAGATCGTGTTTGCATCGGCTTTTAAAATGCTTACTGGAACACCATCAGGGCCTGGACTATAAGATTGACTAAAACGCCGAATCGCAACAGTCACATCCCACAGAGTGAAAGTTATCGTTTCTAGAACTGCCCCGGCCAATGCCTGGATGGTCGGAAGTGGAGTGGTCGAGTCTTCAATAAACGTTTTGGATAGGAAAGCATTGAAGCTATCAGCCGTTAACTGGGCATCAACTATAGGATTTCCAAGAGCGTCTCGGAGGGTGTGATGTTTCGTCTTTCTTTGGGTTTGTACTTTTCGGGAGAAAATTTTCGAGACATTTAACCAACGGTTTTCGGTAAACTGGACCTCTTCGGCTAGCTGTTTTCATCAGACAATCTCTTAACCCGCTCAAATATATCACAAATAAAGGGCAGAACAGAAACCTCGTTCTGAAGTTGAAATCGACAAGAAAGTCTGCGTAACCTATGACGAATGTGCAAGGGTAGGAAAACCCATCCCCCACATTAACACTGACGTTGACATGCAGCCTCTAAAGAAAATTAGGTCAAGCATGCTTGATCCTCGGGTGGGAAAGTCGACAGCCTGAGTCCAGATTCCAACATCCGCAGCCCCAAGAAAGTCTTCGAACCTTCTGGGACCTGAGGGCGAAGACTAGCGGACTTCAGGGAGATTAAAGTCATCCGCAACCAATTGAAATTTAAAGGTTGAGTCGGCCGCAGCATGAAATGCCTGTGAGAGTAAACGATCAAAATCGTCGTTGGCGTTGGGTGGGTGATAAACACAAACAACGAGTTCAGTTTATTCAGTTTATTTCAGTTTATTTGGTAAGGATAATAGGCAAAGCCTTTGAAAACCCTATTGATTACATGTCAGCTCGTTAGAATAACTGTACACGAACAAAAAATGTTCACTATTAAAACAGTACTTGGTTCATTTGAGTAGCATTGTCTCAGAGAAAATATTTGTCTGGACCAGGGGTATTAGTTCAGATTCAGACCGTCGAGGGAAAACAGGGGACACAAATAATCATCCAAGCGTTTCTTGAAGAGTTGCAGGGATGTAGCCTCCACGACTGACTGAGGGAGATCGTTCCATTTCTCCACTACCCTCTGCGTGAAAAATTCAGAACGGAGATTCAGCCTGGACATTGTTGTCCGTAACTTCATCGAGTGACCACGAAGATTGGGTGAAAGGTGCCACTGAAACATGTCCTCAAATTTAATTCCATACTCAAGGCCATGTATTATCTTGTAGACGAGGATAAGATCACCTCTTTGCTGCCTGTAACACAGAGGGAATAAATTAAGGCAATTCAGTCTGTCTGTGTAGGAATGGCTTTTTAGGCCGTTTACCAGCTTTGTTGAACGCCGTTGTACCCGTTCGAGGCATTCTTGGTCCTTTACCAGCCATGGCCGCCATGCTTGTATGCCATATTCTAAGTGGGGCCGAACAAAGGTGCCGTAAACTCTCCCAAAAAGGTCTTGGTCAAAGTTAACGAAAGCCCTCTTTATTGCATGCAGCACTCCCATGGCGCTTTTTGCAGCCTTGTGGCACTGCAGTGTTGGTTTCAGGTTGTTCTGTATCCAAACCCCGAGATCCTTCTGTGAAGATTCTGCGGGGAGCCTTATATCTTTCAGGTGATAAGTCCTCAAACTCTCATTTGAATGAGAGTTGGTTGAACGCAGATGAAGGACGGCACACTTCTCCACATTGAAATCTAGAAGCGATTTCTTCGACCACGCTTGCAGTCGGTGCAGATTATCTTGAAGGTATCTTTGATCATTCGGACCCTTAATGACTTGCCAGAGCTTAACGTCGTCTGCAAACATTATTTTGCCGCAGTCGAGTTCCTGAAGGCTGTCGTTAACGTAAAGGATGAAGAGTAATGGTCCCAGAACTGAGCCTTGCGGCACACCACTGGTCACATTCACCCATTCCGACATATCATCCCCGATACAGACACGTTGTTTCCGACCAACCAGAAACGCCCTAATCCAGTTCAGAAGATCTCCCCGGATGCCGATGTCGCTCAATTTGTGAAGAAGACGTTGGTGTGGGACAGTGTCAAAAGCTTTGCGGAAATCGATGTACACGACATCGACCTCAAAACCCTCTTCTAGAGCCCTGGTCCAGATTTCCAGACAAGCTAGCAGATTTGAGAGGCAGGAACGTCCTCTCCTGAAGCCATGTTGAAAATCCTGCAAGATGTTATTTTCTTCACAAAATTGCTGTATAGCGTTCTTTACTATAGCTTCCATCGTTTTGCAAGGGAGGCAAGTTAAGCTAATAGGTCGAAAGCTGCTTGCTGTCATCTTGCTACCTCCCTTATGCAATGGAACGAGGTTAGCTGTCTTCCACTGTGAGGGCAGCCTTCCTGTTCTCATTGACAGCTCAAAGAGAGTCGAAAGAGGCTTTGACAGCTCCCTTGATAGCTCCTTAAGTATCAGCCCGGGAATTCCGTCGGGTCCAGGAGACTTATCAGGTTTTATTTGACTGAGGACTCGTCTGACTTCTTCGACGGAAAAGGCGACGGTTTCAATGACGGCAATATCTTGGCGCATTTGAAGCTCCCGGCTGTCTCGGTCCATTTCAAACTGCTGATTGTCTTCTATGGACTCTTCCGTAAAAACCGA